CTATTAATGGTGACGAGGCATGGATGTGTTGTGGCAGCCCAGGCCTTTGAGTCTATCCTACAGCCTTTAAGGAGATTGTTCCTAGGCAACCATTTCGTCCTAGCTCTTTCGCGACTTATTCATGGGGTAGAAAACACTTGTGGAAAAGCTGTAATAGGGATGGTAAGTGCGTGTTCTTTTGGATGTTAAATTACATGTATTCCAGTTAATAGAAGTTCTATTGCAAGTGCTCTAACACCACCAACAAACCAAATGCTCCTCAGTTGATATTGCCCCGCTTACCTGGTCAATCGAGTGGATGGTTGCTGGGGCCTTCTCGGTAGTGGAGGCTGGTCGCGTCCCAGCCCACTTAGAATCCAACGCAATTGGGGTTGGGGGAAGAAGGAATATGTTATAGAAAACCCAATGAGTTCTGACTCGATGGTCTGCTGATTTTCTCACGATAATAGATTAGCTTAGTAATGTCCTATATTTTTTACTTTATCTGTTCATCGTGTATTTAATATTATAATTTTTTAATGAGCTCATCAATATTAGCATAACGTTGTTTTTTTTTTTTAAATATCTTTTACAGTGTTTTATTCCTTACACTATGAAGCGATTTAACTTAATTTTCCTTTTGATTTAAAAATTAAGTTGTCAATTCAAGACGACTAATAAAATATTTTAAAAAAATATATTAAAAAAAAATAATGAATCGAAAATTGCAAAATTTAAAAATAATGCATGTTATTTATCAAAAGTGAATAAGAAATATATACCAAAAAAAATGTGATGAATGAGGGGAAAACATTGATTCACTGTTAATATAAAAGATTACATTAAAATAGTTAAAAGACTGTCATCCTGTATTGTGTGCGTGTCATCTGAGATGCATCGCCGGACCTCGCAACCTCAACTGTCTCCGACTGCATCACATGACATACATTGACTGTCTCCGGCGGCATCACAACCTGGCACACGGTAGAAGGTGATGCAACAGCTGTAGATTGAAGACTCCGATCATGTTTAACTTTGAAAAGTATATTGCATGTGCAAAAATTGAGCAGGAGCCAGACGCCAGCGACTACCGCTATGCCGTAACAGTAATGGATCGTAGAAAAGAAATGTGGATCTTCTATTTTCTTGTTGCCGTATTTCTCATGGAGAAGTTCCGTGGAAATACCTGATGAAATTGAATATTTTATTTACAAAAAGTATGTATGCTTTATTTTAGAATTATAAATATAAATACAGTTAAAACCAATAAATTTTAATGAGAATAAAGTGTATACGTTTAAACAAAAAAGCTATCAACATTGAAAAAAAAGGACAACTCAAAGATCATTTAGTTTTTATTTAAAAAATCTTTACCAATGCTTATTTCGTAGCATATCTTGTATTCCTTTTTTGGATAGGTACAGGAAACATACATTTTAAAATTAGTTGTGTGTGTGGATGTATGACATTTGATTGAAAGTTAAATGTATTCCCAACTTTAAAAAAATGCATAGTGATTAAACTAATTTCATTTTCCAATGTGTCCACCCGTCATTATCGTCAGTACATCTAATGCGTAAAATTTGAATGTTATGTAATAAATTTATAGGTTTTCGGGGGGATAAAAAAATCAACGGCCATATCATTTCCTCTTTAATTTTTGGTATATTCGTAATTCTCTAAACGTTCCACGAATTCATCTGACAATATTCACTATAGTAAAAGAACAAGGGCGATATGCAGTGGAGCAAGGTTATCTCTATCAAATAGTAATTTTCATTTCAATGATATACATTCATAGCAGACGTTCAGTGACATCATAAACCACGAATAACAATAAAAAAACATCTGAAAATTTATAAACTAGAGTATGTTTCCTGTAATCATAAATTCACATTGGTTAAGCCATAAAAAAAATTTCAATGCAATTAAAAACTTTAATCTGAAATTAAATGAAAACCATATGCCAGAGTTCTTTTCTTAGACTTCTCATCAGCATTTAATACGATATAACCACACCTTATGATAAAGAAACTTTCCTCGTTAGGTGTCAATTGAAATATTTAGGCTTGGATACTGAAATTTTTAACACATCGCCCACAATATGTCAAAGTAAATAACCAAGTATCTCTAACCAGAGAAATAAGCACAGGGGCGCCACAAGGCTGCATTCTCTCTCCTGTACTGTATACATTTACTAAATGATATTGAAAGCTCAAGCAACACCTTTCCAATCTTAAAATTTGCTGATGATACCACCATCGTTGGCTTAATATCTAAAGGAGAAGGCCTGTACTGCAATTTAGTTACAAACTTTATCAATTGGTGCGATGAAAATTTTCTCCAGCTGAATGTCTCAAAAACAAAGGAAATGGTTGTTGATTTCAGGAGGGAAAAAACCAAATGGCAGATCTCAACATAAAAAATCAAAGTGTAGAGAATGTGGAGGCATACAGCGACGAGCAGCACGCGTTGTCCTAAACCGCTACAGGAATACCTCTAGTGTTGGCAGCATGCTTGAAACGACGACGACAATTCAGACTCTCCATGATGTACTAGATAAATAATGGGCTGGTCCACTGTTCCAGTATTAAACAGAAACTTGTCCCTCTCCCCCATAGACAGCGACGAGGCCATGACAGGCAATTCAGGCTCATACCAGCAAGAAGCCAGTATAGGAGCTGCTCATTCCTGCCCAAGACAATCAGGGACTGGAACAATCTTTCCAAAGGAATGGTTGAGGCGAGAACACTAGACACATTTGTGTCTATTGCCTCAAGCCCTCAAACCCCTAGTGCATGATTTCCTCATGAACACCAGTAACAGAAACATTGCAAATCCCATCTACATGCATAGGAGACAAAATGATAAATAAAATGATCGTGGGCCCTTAAGATATAGAAGAAGAAGTACTTGGGTATCACCATTAATAATAAGCTAACATGGCATGAGCACGGCCAAATCCTGTATAAGAAATTCAACCAAAGACAGTTCTACCTCAAAAACTAACAGCTGTTCAATCATTGCACGACAGCTTAATCTTAAGGACTGTATCTGTTCTTTCTGCTATCTACAATTTCCAGTCAACGGAATGTAGGAGATAACACTAAATAATTCACATTTTTGTCGCTGGAGATAATGAATAATCTACTGTGTGGGATCAGATCTTTTACTCATGTCTTCATCACAGGCTCCAAATTTAATACTAATACGAGCCATTAAACTTTAAAACAAACTATAAAAAAACAAACAAAACAACTCTGCTCTGTGAATAAAAGATAATAATTGAAGGACTGGGTTCAAGATATGTGAATGAAACAGTAAACAAAGGAATGTTGCAGCTTGGATCAAAAGACGGGACAGTAAGCTGTGAACGTTTCGGCCCAGAGCCTTCTTCGGCGAACAGGACGAATAGACGTACGACAGGAAACAGAGAACAGTCCACACAAAAAAGAGCAAGTGACAACAAGGTTGGGACAAGTGCACACAAGTGGTAGCAGTCGAAGATCTCGAAGTTACTGTAGGACAAAACCTGCATAATGAAAATAAAAGTGAAGTGAATGATCTGATGCATAACTATGTGTATCCCGGTAACATTACCTTTAAAGTTAAATCATATGTGGATGGGACACAGAAAGAAATCATATAGAATGCGCTCTTTTGAAATTATTGCGCCAAAATTGTGTAACAGTTTACCTCAAGCTTTGAAGGGCTTTCAAAACGATAAAAATGTATTTCAGACCTTTTAAAGATTTTTTTCTTTAAATATATTCCAGGCCATCAGAGCGCTGTGAGCGTGCTAAAACAGCATGCACGCAAGCACGATGAAAGTACTCAATCATCCTCATCATTGGATGAAACAATATCTTTGACTTTCGATATACTATTGTCAATATTCGCATTTCTCTTTTCATAGCTCTTAAATTTTCTTTCAATGTTATAGATCAGTGCTTGACCGCATGTTTCTAATGGCCAAATTGTGGCTGGCTGGGGCATTTGCCCCCCCCCCCCTCTCCTGGATTTGCATGTTTTATTGAAATTGCTATGAACTGTGGCGCCTCCAGTAATACATAACTTAACAAGCCAACCAAGGTTTAGTTTCGTCCCCCCCCCCCCCGTTCTGAAAAAACCTGATATGACGCCCCTAGGGGGAATGTAATCGGAGGCCACATTTTAAAACAATAAAAAAGATATATATTTTAAGAAAAACACAAAATCACCAATTATGTTTGGAGGGTTTCATGGGTGTGTGTTCAAAAACTTGAGAATCAATGAATTCAGATGTTATCGACAACGACAGAACCGTTCAGTATCGCTCTCAGAAATAGCGTGAAACATATTTGGTATAGATGGTCATGCTGTGCTTCAAACAAACATTACAGGCCACATAACAGCTGTGAGATTTCTAACATTAGGTAATTTGACGAACTTCGTTTCAAGCCATTGATCAGATTTGATAGAAACATTATGCTACCAGAGTTTTAAAAAAAAATAGTCTTCTGATCAGTTAAGTATGTTTTCATTAGAGAGAGTTTTAAAAATCATTTTTCGTATAGCAGTTGTTCTTTGGGATATATCGGCTAAACTATTTCTTTTTTTTTTTTTAAATATACACTTACTTGTTACAAAACCCATAAAAAATGACATGTGTTTAAAAGACATGATTAAATGTAAAAATAAGAAGGTCAAAATTTAAATATAATATAAAAACTTGCGAGAAAAAAAATATATAGAGAGAGAGATTATCTATATATATATTAATGTGTGTGTGCGTTTTTTTTCCACATATTTTAAAGTTCAACAAATTCTAGTTCATCTTGTTAAATTGATTATATTCTATATTTCTTAGACAATCATTATGACCAAAAAAAATAAATATTTTGGTAAAAGTTCGTTCTTTACTGATGATATTTTTTCAGTAAACTTTGTTTTTTAATCTCATCCTTGAAAGCAAAATTTAATTTAAAACAATTTTGTTACATTTCTAATCACGTTAACTTTCAAAACATCTCCAGTTAAAAATGAGTGAAATTGCTTCTGCTAAATGTGTCGATCTTCTAATGATTGGTAAAACTGGTAACGGAAAGAGCTCTCTGGGCAACGCCATTTTACGACGTGAAATCTTCATTACTTCCGCCGACACTGATTCTGTTACCTCTAAAGTTGATTATGAGTACGGTGAATTTGATGGCCGCATCCTGAAGGTTGTTGATGTACCTGGAGTTGGAGAAACCCGCTTGAGCCGTGAAGAATCAACTAATCTTGTTATGATGTCAATGGAGTACGCCATTAAAACCAATCCAGAGGGATATCATGCATTTCTTCTTGTTTTCAAATACGGACAAAGATTTACGGCTGAAGAACATGAAACAATACAGTTCCTAAAGCAATTTTTTGGAGAAAACTTTGTCAAGACATTTTGCATCGCACTAATGACAGGCGGAGATAATTTTGAAAGAGACAGTAGAAAAACGAAATTAACTTTCCCTGAATGGTGTGATAAACAGACCGGTGAATTCAAAGAACTGTTAAAGGAATGCAATCAAAGAATCATTTTGTTTGACAACGTAACTGAGAATGAAGAAAAGAAAGATAGCCAAGTAGCTGATCTCTTAAAAATGGTTGAAAATTTAGCGTCAAGTGGTAAAAGATACACGAACGCACATTTTGAAGCGGCCAGAACAGCTCGTGATAAACTCATGATAGAAGCCAAGGAACCCATGATACGACATGAGACAATGAGAGAGACCAGCCTTATCTTAGATAAGCTCAACAAAATAATTGACAATGAAGACCTAAATGAAATGATGTTACATCTAGACGAGCTTTCCCTTAGAGCTCGAGATTTGTACGAGAGCACGAAGATACAAGACAAGGGGACCGGGTCTCTCAGTGAGTTGTTGGGCACGGTTAAAAACATAAAAAATCAAATTCGAAAAGAAAAAAAACGTGCGAAAACTAAAGTTGCTCAGAATGAAAAAAATCGAAAACTAAAGGAGGCGAAAGAAAGACAGTACAAGGAGCAAATGCAAAGAATTAAGGAGGAGGCTGAAAAAAAAATTAAAGAAGAAAAGATTGCTTTGGAAAAGGCAAATAAACAAAATGAGGAAGAGAGAAAAAAAATTAAAGAGAAGTTAAATAGACAAAAAGAAGATCAAAAGAGGAAGGATGAGGATTGGAAAAAAGAACAGGCTGAAGTAAGAAGAAAAGAAGAAGAAATTGAAGAGACTAGAACCCGTTATGAGGAAAAGGAAAGACAGCACGTGCGTGAAATGCAAAGAATTAAGGAAGAGGCTGAAAAAAAAAATGCAGAAGAAAAGATTGCATTGGAAAGAGAAAAAAAAGAAAACGAAGAAAAGCGAAAAAAAATTGAAGAACAGTTAAGAAAACAACAAGAGGAGCAAATGAGAAAAGAAGAAATGTGGAGAAAAGAACTGGAAGAAGCAAAAAGAAAAGTAATACAAGAACAAGAACAAGACTTCGAGAGGCGTCGACGTGAGATGGAAAAATTACTTAAGGAGTACAAAAACGTTAAATCTAAGAATGATGAAGGGTGGTTAAATTCACTTGGTCGAATTATTAAATTGTCAGCAGTAAAAATTGGTGAGTTTTTAGTGGACTCTGGAACAACAGCTTTAATACATGTTGTAAAAAACAAAATGTTTAAAAAATAGGACCTCTATTTTTTTTATAAAGGAAAGTTTAATTTTTTACTGACGGATATTAGTAATAACCATTACTATTACAACGTTTTACGCCAAAAATTAAGGAATAAATTACATTTCAATCAGAAATCAATTTGAAACATTTGAAAATCATCATAAAATTAATATTCCTCAAATTGTTTTCATGATGTATGTTTAATTTTTACATGCTATTAAAAAAAATTATACATATTCAAACTTTGAAAAATCAAAACTTATTATTAAATATGTGTTTAACTTATTTGCTTATGGTGTGCTTATTAGCACTTAGTTGTTACTCTTAGTGAGAACACACATTCAGACTATTCCTGTATGAGCGTGTTGTGTCTAGCATTCATTATAACATATTTTCCATGTTGGCAATCGTTCTAGAAAATAATTATATATAGTGAATTATTTTATTTAATGATTACACATTCTTGTTTTAATTATTTCAAAATATCTTTTGTTTATTGGGAGGTTGTCTCCTATTCGATGAAGCAGCCACATATCGATCAAACGACACTTGAATGTGGAAATTAGAAGAAAAAAATGAATACCCAGAGCCTCTTCTTCGTTTAGCCTAGTCCAGCCCAACATAATGTTGGTGTAAACTGCATCAACGCAATTTAGTATTAAATTGTTTTTTTTTTTCTTTTCTTTTTTTGTTTTTTTTTCTTCATTCATTTGACAATTAACATAAACCTGCCTAGTCTAACAATTCCATACAAAAAATTATTAAAAACCATGACGCCATTTCGTAACATTAACTGGGAATATTTAAAGTAATAAAATACTATTATCTATATATATATATATATATATATATATATATATATATATATATATATATATACATATATATATATATACATATATAAAAATATATAATATATATATATATATATATATATATATATATATATATATATATATATATACACATATATACATACAGGCATGTAGAAATATATATAGACTGGCAGGCACGTAGACATGTGAACAGGTTTGTAGATATATAGATACATTGCCGGACAAGGTGGATAGATGGATATTTGCTGGTTTGATAAAATCAAAAACCCTTACTATTGTTCCAACTACGGACTACAGTGTTTTGGCAGCCACGCTCTTCACCATCTCTTACGGATGACATTCGCAATATATATTTATATAAAATAATTCACGTATAAAAACGGTTGTTTATTTTTAAATTATGAATAGATGTCAGGGAATTAACATCGTCTTTCTACGTTTCTTGAGTTTGTCCATAACATTTCTCATCCATTAAATACTTAATTTTATTGTTTTCAATGCATGAATTGAATCACACTAGGAAATAGAACGACGCAATATTTTAGATGGTTGATTACATGTCTGCATAAAGAGGTAGAAATAACTGACACCCCTCCCCACTCCCGCAGTGTTATTTTTTTTTACCCTGTTTCTGACTGTTCTTTTTGTGCGTCCCACGTTGAAGTAGTTGGCGGGATATGTGCCAGAGCCCTCACATCAACCGGAATTCAGCTACGGGTTATATTTTTCCGAGTGTGCCATCTCTTAGATGAGTTGCTTAAGTCAATGGTGTCACTGTGGGAGATCATTGACGGCCGAGTTCTACGCTGGTGAACTATTTTAGATGCCTTAAGTTTAAATTGGTGTATTCGTCAAATGTTGTCTTGGTTATGTATTTATTTTTGGTCTGAAAATGAATGTGTACTATTCATTTAAAAAAAACAAACAACAAACTATTCCCTAATATGGATCAATAAATGATTCTTATCTTATTTTTTCTTTCGATTTCTTTATTTAAAAAAAAAAAAAGGTAAGTAAGGCGGTTAGACGTGTCAACACCCTATCACCAGTGGTGAATTATGTCAACACCCTATCACCAGTGGTGAATTATGTCAACATTTAAAAAAAACAAACAACAAACTATTCCCTAATATGGATCAATAAATGATTCTTATCTTATTTTTTTTTTCGATTTCTTTATTTAAAAAAAAAAAAAGGTAAGTAAGGCGGTTAGACGTGTCAACACCCTATCACCAGTGGTGAATTATGTCAACACCCTATCACCAGTGGTGAATTATGTCAACACCCTATCACCAGTGGTGAAGCGTGTATACACCCTATCACCAGTGGTGAGGCGTGTCAACACCCTATCACCAGTGGTGAATTATGTCAACACCCTATCACCAGTGGTGAATTATGTCAACACCATATCACCAGTGGTGAGGCGAGTCAAGACCCTAATGACCAGCGTTGAGGCGTATCAACACCCTATCACCAGCGGTTAGGCTGTCAACACCCTATCACCAGCGGTGAATTGTGTCAACACCCTATCACCAGAATTGGAGGCGTGTCAACACCCTATCACCAGCGGTGAATTGTGTCAACACCCTATCACCAGCTTTGAGGCGAGTCAATACCCTATCACCAGCTTTGAGGCGAGTCAAGACCCTATCACCAGCTTTGAGGCGAGTCAAGACCCTATCACCAGCTTTGAGGCGAGTCAAGACCCTAACACCAGCGTTGAGGCCTGTCAACACCCTATCAGCAACCACGACAGCACAAACTATGCTAACTACCTATACGTCCCGCTCCACAACAGCAACCACCAGCCTACAAACAGCGCAGCACACAAATCACGACATTTACAACGTTGACAACTTCTACCGTAACCGCGTCCACTGTGTCCAATGAAAGCAACAGCAAAAATCCACTACGACACCGATGCCAACATTTTCTACTTAACCAAACACAACCAAAATAATATAGAAGCATAATTGAAAAAAAACAACAACATATATTTCTTAATGAAGTGCCAGCTCCTTACGACATCCAGTTCTTTTGATATAGACTTTTTTTTTTTCTTTTTTTTTTTTTGTTAAAGCAATGTAACATAGTTTAAGTACAAATGAAAGCAAACATACCAAATCGTCTTGACAATACTCTTCGCGTAGACAAATTCAGCGCTTTCAATAATGCCCGGCATAGGTCTCAAAAACATACTCTTTTGTTTGTAGGCATTGGATCACGAAGAGGCGGTGAAGGGGGTTTGGACTGTTCAGGTCGGGACCTTTTTTAAAATATACGTGGGGTGGCAATTTTTTGGCACATTGTGTGGGTGGAAGGGCTGGCACTAATCCTACCCACACGACTTTTTTTTTTGTTGTTTTGGACGGGTATTTGTTACCGCTTTAATAAATATACACAAAACATCTGTTCCCCTCAATTGAGCGTGATCCATAACGAATATAAAGCAATGTATTTATCCTATTCAAAATATCTCCAATATTTCCACGCTTGAATAGGTAGAACACTGAGAAAAATTGATTGAGGGGGCGTCCAATTATTTAGGTCAACAATTTTTTTAAAGCAACATTTAACCCCCCTTCCCCCCTCCCCCCCCAATTGGCAACAACTGTTAAACTTTCAATGATCCCCCGAAGTGATTATGCCAACGTTTCTATAACCCCCCCNAGAAATATTTTGATGCACATCAAGCCTGTTAGTGAACATTTAAACTTTACATGGCTAAAATTGTAGAAATATTTTAATTTACCATCATTAAATTTGATAACATAATGTACTAACCAGACAATTTTAAAGATACAAATTTTAATAGAGAAAATATCATTGTTGACGTCAACTAATCTAACCCCCAACCCCCCCCCCCCGTCAACAACTGTCAAACATTTCCAAAGCCCGTCCCCCCCCCCTATTTTGTTGACATAATTATTGGACCACCCCTATATATCAGTGGTTCTCAACCTTCCCAATGCCACGGCACTCTAATACAGCTCCTCGTATTGTGGCGACCACAAACCATACAATTTTTTTTCATGGCTACTTCAAATATAAGTGTTTTCCGATGGTCTTACGCAACCCCTGTGTAAGAGTCGTTCGACCAACAAATGGGTCACGACCCACAGGTTGAGAACCGCTGGCTTAAAAACGTGTCGTGTTTTGTATGCACATGTTCTAGATCAGATCGTTTCCAAATGTACTCATTTCAACAATGCCAACTGAGAACGACCCATAGACATAATTAATCTACATCGATATTATTTTTTTTTTAGATCTACATCGATATTTTGTTAAACCGTCATCGATATTTTGTTACAGCTATTTCGATACTTTGTAAAAATCTGACTCAATAATTCGTTAGATTTACATCGATATTGTGTTAAAACTTTATTGATATTTTCGTAGATTTACATCGATATTTTGTTAAACCTAAATCAATATTATTTAAATCCTCATCGACGTTTTGTTAAATCTGAGTCGATATTTTGTTAAATATGATTCGATAGTTTGTTAAATCTGATTCGACATTTTGTTCAATATGATTCAATAGTTTGTTAAATCTGATTCGATATTTTGTTAAATATGATTCAATAGTTTGTTAAATCTGATTCGATATTTTGTTAAATATGATTCAATAGTTTGTTTAATCTGATTCGATA